TGTGTAGAATTGTGGACCGCGATTATTTAATCTAAGAAGAAGACAAAAGTAAAAAAAGACCTTTGATCTTGGTGATTAAATTCTCGCCCTTCTCCTTTTCAACTACCTCCTCGTCTTCGTCTGATTTTTGCACAATGTTCTGATACACGGTTAGTCCAATGTCCATAGCATGATTAATTATGAACTGTATGGTGCAAAGAACCATAACAATCAATATCGGCAAACACAAAGTAGTTTCCACGTCGTCCAGGAAAAGATTTAGCCATTCCGGTAGCAAATCGCAGCTCATCTTCGATTTCAAAATGTCACCAACGAAATTCGTTGCTTTGTTCCGCTTCCAACGTAGGATACCCGATCCTTCTCGCTCTGTGAAAATAATAACAGTCGTCTTACACGCGCCTCGTTCTCAAAGCACGGTTCTGCATTTGCGAAACAATTTCGTGAACCATATTCTTGTCAATTTAGCCGAAGAAAGAAGTCATTGCCGAAATATGCACTTGGACGTCGTTTTACAGCACTGAATCGGTTCAAAAGCTGAATGTTCGATTATCGAATCAGTCGAGTATCCAATCTCCTCGACTCTGCTAGCCGCGAACGAATGTGAAATTTAAACGGGAAAAATTCCAGCTTTAATAAAACTCGTTCAATTGCTTTGCTTTACTGAAAAATCGGTATATATACAAATAGTGAAAATACTAAGAATGTTATTTATTAGAAATACTACAATATGATATCGTAAAAAGAAATAAATTAATATAAACATTAAACTTGTTTTCAAATTTCAAGATGATCTTCGCCATCTGACTTGAATCAGTGAAACTATACATAGACGTAACCTCTATCTGTAACATAACATAACCTCTGCGGTATTGATTAGAGAATTTTATTTACGTGTAATATATTTTAGATGTATATGTTTGATGTTCTAAAAAGATTTATTATTGTTGCATGGAAATTTTGAATCTTTTTAACAGAACAAAATGTCTACTCGTTGGTAAGTATGTATTATCTTTACAAAAGAGTAAAACTGAAAATACATTGAAAAGAATAAATAACAAGATCAATTGTTTAACGATTTTGTATTTTATTTTATATATTATTGCATTTATTGTCTTGTCTATCATTATAGGTATCCCTTGTATCAGAAAGGTAACCCACAATTAAGAGTATTTCTTCCAAACTTTTGGTTGAAGCTTGTAAAACCAGAACATAATCAGCCAAAAAATATAATAGAATTTCACTGTTCAATGGAAATGACAAGGTTTGATGTGAGGAATTATTTAGAAAAAATTTATAACGTACATCCTGTGCATGTGCATATCAGAATTGCTCTTGGAAAAACTTATATCCCTCGTGGTTGTAAATTTGTTGTTAAAGATGATGATGTAAAAATAGCTTATGTAACTCTGGTAAGTATTAAAGAGAAAAAACTCAATTTTGAACAGAAAGATAACAAAAGTGTTGTTGACACATGTAATACGCATTTTATATGATTTCAGCCTAAAACTGAAACATTCACGTTCCCTAATATAATTCCCAAAGATGAAGAAGATACAAATGAAAAAATATTTAAAAATTTAGAGAACAACTTTTATGAATTTTCAGAAAAGAACAAAACACCTGGTTTACCTTGCTGGTTTTCACACTCATGAATTTATTAGCTTGGCATAAAAATAAATGATATCTTAATTAAACCAGTGTATATTCTTCCTTTTTTTTCAACATCTATCACAAAAATTTAATGCAGGTACTTAATGATTAATCAGAAGTAGTTAAAATGAATGTAGGATATACATATGTATGCACATGTAGTTATATTGTCAATGATAAAATAAAAATTATTTACATATTATTGTAGATTTTTTAAAAAGCCATAGTCATACAAAGTATAATCTTTTTAAAATTTATATCTCGCTCAATGCAGAATAATCAGCTTCACATTTAGGACATTCTATCATATCAGTAATAAAAGAAACCTGAAAGAAAGAAAAAAATGATCAAGAGAAACTAATTCATAATAATTATAAAGTACGAGTAATTTGTTTTGATTCACACTTTATTTAAAAATATGATGTGTTAAAGACAACAAACCTGATGATGAACAGGACAGGAATGATGTATTCTGCCAGTTTTAAAAAATCCACAAGCATTGCAGACTACAAGAGAATTTTCTCTGGTACAAATGCATTGACCTGGAGGAAAAGTTCGACCTATTGATTTTCGACCTCTGATCCATCTTCCTCGAGCAGAATTACCAGGTTGACGAAAATTATTACCATTAGAATTACCATGGTTACCAATATTGCCAGAATTATCAGGATGACCAGAATTTCCAGAATTACTAGATGATGAATTAGGCTGAGACATTTTGATTTTCTATTCCTAATGAAATAACTCAATGTCTATTATTCGATATTTAAATTAACGAAATTACAAATATACACATATATAGATACATTTGTAGATACATTTGTATATCCCTCATATGAAATATACTCAATACTTTATTATAGCAGTCAAAACACGGAAACTTCGAAAACGATTTGATTTTAATCGACACATACTTTCTAAAACGCGTCCGTCCAATGTTAATAAATATATAATTAACGAAAGATTCATTTCGAATCGTAAATTCATGACACTAATTCCTTCGCGCGAATATAATTCACTCGTACATACAGCCGCAACATTTTTGGTACTTACAAGCAACGTTTAATTTCCGGCACGCGAGCAATAATCGTCCCCTTGTGACTCTCTTTTAACATTTAATTCACATTGATTCAACAAAACAAAACGATATTCTCAACTACACATTCGACGCGTACAGAAACAGTGGAAACGTTAAAAATGTTATCAACAATGGTAATTATGAACCACGTAAATAAAAAATGTTATCAACAATGGTAATTATGAACCAAGTAATAACGAACCACAAAGTATTTACGAAATGCTTTGTACATTACATCTTTTTAAATCTGAAATATCATCGTACAATATAACACGTTTTTTTTCATCATATACCTTATTCAAAAGTCAGTTGTTCCCTTCAATGCGAAAAGTCAGTCAATAAATCAATGTAAAATATTGTAAATCGATCACAGGCCGTCGTAGAAAGATATCCCAAAACAATAAAGTTATTTGATACACGCGCGATTTGAAAGGATTATAACTGTAAGATTTCTCTCTTTTTTCCTTCTCGTTGAAGAAATTGAACGATTGTACCCGTCTTTCTCGTTGAAACGTTGACGCGCGTTTGGAATCCATTCGTATGTAGATTGCTTTATACCAGAACTGGCTGACTACTAGCGACCCGAGAGACCTTGCCCCTACTTTTCTGATCACTAGTGCTACTCCTTACGCTGTATCGATTTCTTCACTACATCGATCTCTCTATTGCATTGAAATCTCTTTTTGCCGTGCATGAGCTCTACTCTCTCATTGCCAGCTGCTGATTTCTCTCGATGCAATGGAGGGGGTAATGCTAGTGACCAGGAAAATAGGAGCAAGGGCTCATGGGCAACTAATTAACCAGCTCTGCTTTATACTCTCTGCTCGGATACAAAACGGATTACAAAAAGATTCTATTGTTATTAAGTTATGAATATTTAATAGAATAAAAAATAGGATTGTGACATTGGTCTTAGTTCTCAAAATGCTTAAAATACACAAATTATTTAAAGCTGACATGATTTTTAACTACGTTAGTTACGAATGAAGGAAGCCCTGATTTATATCGATTTTGATTCCGGCTCTACAGTACCAATATTATGTATATCGATTATCGATTTCATAATAGTTTCATAGTAGTTACGCACAGGTTACGATACATTGTTTTTGCACTAATCAGGTATTAATCAAGTAAATGTATAACTAACATATTATCAATGGCTATTTATTTTATTTTCTTTACAGAAAATCATTCGAATGAAACGGCAGAAACTAAAAATTTTAATTCACTGGATCTTTAATACTCTGACAGGTTGCTCTTGTCATTTGTTCATGTTTACATTTCAAACAGAAGTGCCAACAATAGAAAGATATAAACATATCAACTCAAAAAAATGTGACATTGATAAAAAAATGTTCTGAAATGTACGGATATAATAATAGACCTTATAATAATAGCATAATAGATCGGATAAAATATATTTTGTAGAATCGAAATCGAAACCGATACACATCGAAACTTTTCACACACATATATAATTGTTTCGAGACTACGTCTTTTAAAATTGTCTTTAATCAGAACCTTCGTGCAATAACAGCTTTTCAATTACCATTCAGAGGTAATTACCTTACCATTATGTACATATGTCAACCGGCATTTTTTTGACAGGAATATTTTCTCGAAAATATTATTGAGAAACATGAATGAACGAATACATATCTATGTATACTATGTTCAATCATAATTATGGATTTTTCTTAAAAGAATCATTAAAATCATGATAAACGTCTTTGACTGAACAAACTTTAACCTTTGACAACTTTAACGTTCAGTTGAATAATATGAGAACAAAAGTTAAACAACATAAATAAACACACTTATGTAAACAGAAATCAGCTGATTGTCTTATAACGGAATTATTAGATCGAATGTCGATTTGTCACGATATAACTAAGTCAAACTTTTATTTTTTTTTCAAGAATTGCTGTGTAACAAACGGTCAAATTATTGGAAATTAAGAGTGGTAAAATATTATAATACGAGCATACATGGCGAGAAGGTAAAATAATGAATCGATTTAGTTAGAAGTTTACAAATATAAATTATTATTTTTAACGTATAACATTAGGCCTTTTAGGTTAATGTTAATGTATAATGTTAGGCCATTGGTAATCTTATTGTAGTATAATAAAGATAGTATAATGTAGGTAGTATAATAAATATATAAATAGGCCTTTTAAGTTCGATTTCCTTGCGTTTAACATTGAAAAAATTATGTTTCATTGCATGAAATGGAAGAATTCATTAAAATAGTTTCAGATGTCTGATATGAGACATGAAATTTCGAATTTTAGAAGAAAGTCAAGAAAGAGCTCTCGATAACGAAAAACCTTTATTTTGCAAAATAAACATAATTTGTAAATTTTCTAACGAATTTTACAAACGGTGACAATTTTTAAATTCGAATTCTATAAATTGGCTTGCAACAATCCATACAATATAACTTTCTTTTTGTATGGACAAAACTTGAATATTTAAAATACATATTACACATATACATACTATGTAATATATAGATTTCACAATAGACAAGAATTAGATAGAAAAGTGAAAATAATAATATTGTAAGCTAAATGTAAAAGGACAAGCAAGCCAAATTTTACTCTTGATTCGTTTTTTACCGTTTATTTGTCGCATTCTTGTATCCACGGTGAATCGATCTAACTCGAATATAACTCGAACTATGGCGTCCGGTACAGTGGCAGAAAATAAACGTGTTACAAATTTAAGCGTATCAAACAATCATGGCAGGTAAACGAAAAAGAAGGCGATTCAATATCCGAAAGAGTACATATAATAATTTCAATGCTAGTGATTAGCCATATTTTTTTCTTTTTCTTTTAGAAAAGTTCTAAACATTTACAGAGTATCGGCAAGTGGGACGGACAAGACGAAAGTGACGTTTTGTACGGACGTGGATAAATCTGTGATAGTGCATAACTTCGAGAAGAGGGGATGGGTTCAAGTTGGCCCGGAGGATGATTGGAATTTTTATTGGTAATAACTGCTTCTCGTTTTTCAATATAAAAAATTAAAAAAATGGAATTATATTAAATATCGAGAACTAGTATATAAAAATAATCAACATTCTTTAATTCCACTTATCCAAAAAATCTACTATTAAAAATTTGGCGTGTCCGAAAACAAAATCCATGTAAACTTTTTAAATTATTTCAGGGCAGTCACTCAATCATGCAGGAATATATTCAGCGTGGAAACCGGATATAGAATGGACGACAAACAGTTAAATATCAATTTTTTAAAATATATTATATTTTTTTAAATATTCATATTTAATGGTTAATACTTTTTTAAAGTTCCATTTTTAACGTAATACGACTATCATGATTTTATTGATGATGTTTGAAAAGAAATTGAAACTGTTGTATATTAATCTTTACGTGTTTGTAATAAATGACATGCAAGCTAGAAATAAACATCATTAATACGATCATTATAGACGTATCTCATTACGAAGTTGATTAATTTATCGTATTTATCATAGGTAATATCGTCCATAAAATGTTTCTTACGATAGACAAGTGTTTAAGTAGTGTATTATTACTTTTAGACTGATCAATCATTTTCCAAATCATTACGAACTAACACGGAAGGATCTGTTGGTAAAAAATATAAAACGCTACCGGAAGGAACTGGAACGCGAAGGAAATCCTCTGGCAGAAAGAGGGGATGGCCCAGGGAAATATCTTTATCTCGATTTCATACCTGTCACGTTCGTTTTGCCGGCAGGTAAATTGTACTAACCCTTTGACTGCTATGGGCGCATATATACGTCCAGCAAAGGCTATTAATGTGACCTATGGACGCATATATGCGCCCGGCGAAGGCTTTGGTTGTTTACTATTGTCTCATGTGTATGTTCGGTAATTTTTCTATATATATAGTATATGTTTCTATAGTATATGTCCAATACTAGCAGAAACCACATACTTCGTTGCTTAGCAAAGAAAAAAGAAAATCTTGTTCATTTCTTCAATTATTCTCTTAACTTAATCTTAAACTCGTTTCATCTATAGCCATACAGTTGTGATTGTTGCATTAGCATATTGCAATATTACACTTGTGGTGCATGTGATTTTTATGTTATTATTTGCTGCTGTTAATACCTTAAAAATGTGTAGCAGTTTTAAAGAATTTGTTGACTTGGATGAAACGTAAAATTATAATGGTGAAATACAGGAAACGCACAAATGCTTTCAACATTATCATGGTCGAAGAACAATTTCAAATACATGCATTTAACGATCAGAATTCTGGAATGAAAGGAAATTTAACTCCGGAATCCTTTAGATGCTTTCCAACTTTTCTTTTCAGAAGAGTTAGTTTCTCATATTACAGAGGAGACGAACAATTTAGATGTATGGATTCTTGGCCATCATGCTAATGCCGTGGGTAAAGAAATTGACTCTAAATGAGTATTGGTCGATTGATCAGATGATAAAAACCAACATTTTTAGAAAAATTATAGGACGAGACAGATACATGGATATTATTGCAAATGTTACATTCTAATAATAATAATAATAATAACGTAAGAAGTGATGATCCATTAATAAAAATACGACCCATAATTGATGCACTCAAGAACTCTTTCTCACAATCATTTTACCCGTACAAAAATTTGTCTTATGTTGTTCAAAGGCCGATGTTATTTTAAACAATTTATTCCTTCTAAAAGAAGCAGATTTGATATTAAATCATTTATACTCTGCGACTGCACAACTACGTACTATATTGTATAATATATACTGGAAAAAATACAGATATTATGCATAATTTTGACAATCGGCAAATGCTATCAAGACACTTTTACATCCATATTTTGGAAAAGGTCATACAGTGATAACAAATGCATTTGGAACAGTATGGAAAAATAGAAGAGATATGCCCCATATCGAGGGAAATAGGAGAAACGGAAAATTTGACTACTGATGTACAGATAATTTATTGGCATTGGCGGTGGCGAGATAAAAAAGATGTTATCGAGTACTCACGAACCTAAAATGATAGAAGAAATTATCTTAGAGGATCGCAGAACTTAAAATCAGAATGTGTTGCAGATTACAAAATCAAGATGGGTCCGTGTTGATATGATTTTTAAACACACTTAATTCAACCAGAAAATGTGTAAAATGGTATAAAAGTTTTTTTTTCCATTTATTAAACATCTCATTATATAACTCCTATGAGTGTTACTGGTAAAAAACTAAAATACAACGATTTCCACCTGTCATTAATGAAACAAATTCTGCAAAAATTCCCTTTGAAAATTTTAAATGCAGCAGGCAACTTGACAAGAAGAAAATGTGTTGCCTGCAGGAAACATAAAATAAGGAGAGATACACCATACTAATGTAAAAACTGCGACATCATGGATTATGTATTGATACTTATTTCGAGATTTACCATACGCAAATAAACTATTAATTTTCTTATTGTTCTTCTTTCTTAAGACATATATATTCGAAAATTTATAGCTTTTGTATTTATGTTATTATACGTAGATAGTATTTATATAATCGTTTCTATGATTTGTTTAATTTTTCAAACTTGAATGTCCAAATACATTATGATTATCAAATTATGGCGTTTTAAAACTTCAACATTGGTGAATAAACAGTATACATTGAAAATAAAAGAAATGTTTGGATTTGTCTTGGAGTAGAAAAAGTAATAGTAATTGGATTGTGTACTATATTATAATGTGTTATCGCATGTGGTATGTATGATCATATCAACTTAAAACAGCTCACAGTCAAAGGATTAATATAACTGAGTACAATATATCTACAATACAGTATACTCTAAGCGAACTTCAAGCATTATTGGGGAAAAGTATGTGCGTGCTTTGCACAAGTATAATATATCTTTTTACCAATTATTATAATATTTATTTTAACATATATTTAAACACACGCGCAATATGTCCCACAGTAGAGTTTCTGAATGTTAATGTGTCAAAATTAATTCTTACAATTAGATTATAATATGTTCGTGGAAGAATATCGCAAGTCACCACAAAGCACATGGATTATGAAACCGTGCGGCAAGTCACAGGGTGCTGGAATATTTCTAATCAATAAATTGAGTAAACTTAAGAAATGGTCTCGAGAAGCAAAGAATCCATTTAATCCAAATTTAACGAAAGAATCATATGTAATATCTAGGTAATACAGTTTATCTAATTTACGTTAAAATTGAGAAGCTTTGTAAAGAAAAAAAAAAAAAAAAAAGAAAAGAGATTAACTTCATAAGACATAACTTAATTCGCCACTTTGCCTATCTGATTGTCTATCTTTCCCACAGGAAGCTTCTCAATTAATATCAAGTAATATCATTCTCAAGTAATATTAAAGTAATCGAAATGAAAAATATTTTTAAATATATAGGTACATTGACAATCCGCTTTTAATAGGAGGGAAGAAATTCGATCTCCGTTTATACGTCCTCATCGCTTCTTTTCGACCATTGAAAGCCTATCTGTTCAAACTAGGATTCTGCCGATTTTGTACAGTCAAGTATGACACTAGTATTCAAGAATTAGACAACATGTATGTTCACCTTACGAACGTGTCTGTGCAAAAGCATGGTGTAAGTGGATGTTTCTTTTTTTCCTCTTTCAAAAAGAAAGAAAGAGAAAGTATATAGATACTGTAAAGCAAATAAACATACATATATATTTCGATGGATGTAACAAATTTTCGATAAATGATAATATACGAATCTACTGCAGGAAGAGTATAACAGCAAGCATGGTGGTAAATTGAGTGTTCATAATTTGAGACTATACTTGGAGAGCACGCGTGGAAAAGCGGTCACGGAAAAGCTGTTCGCAAACATCACTTGGTGTATTATACATTCTTTGAAAGCTGTCGCCCCAGTTATGGCGAACGATCGACACTGCTTCGAGTGCTATGGTTACGATATCATCATTGATAATGATCTGAAACCGTGGCTTATAGAGGTCCTTCAAATCTTTTCAGTATTTAGTTGGAGGCTTACATTGCATTACTGTCTAATTAATACATAATGATAAGTTAAATATTATTTATTTTATTTCTTCTTATGCTGACTAATCCTTTGATTTCTTCTTATGCTGACTTCCTACTGGTTTCGCAGGTGAACGCATCTCCGTCCCTAACCTCTACCACAGTGAACGATCGAATCTTAAAGTACAAATTAATCGACAATATAATTTCAATCGTCGTACCACCCGACGGTGTACCAGAGTGAGTCTCACATCCTTATCTTCCTTTGAAAACACATTTGCAAAGACATTTCGATCAAAATATGATTGGTCACAGTGTAAAGTGGAACAAATGCCCACCACCGGAAGCACTGGGGAATTTCGAGCTTCTCTTGGACGAAGAACTCGTCGCTCAAGAGGAGAAAGAATGTTCGTCTGGGAAGTACCGAAATTCTTCCAGCAAATGGAAATAAATAGTCTGCTATTTCTGGATAATAATAATAAGAAGAAGAAAAAGAAGAAAAAGAAGAGAAGAAGAAGAAGGATATTACAGGAGTAAACGATATTTTATTATAAGAACAGGTGTCCTTTGAATAAAATATCGGGAGGAGGTGTTGAAGACGAGGCATGCGTAGAAGCAACAGGCATAGTCTGCTTTAATCATCAGGGCGCATGTACCAAATCTTCGAAATGAATATATTCCAGTTTATTTCGCTCGTACACAGTACAATTTATCACAATTCACTGCGAACAAAAGTATACACGCATGCTAACGTCGAGGGCATCAGATTTTGCAACGAATGTTTGCAACAAATTGACACGGACGCGTTATATCAATCAGTATATAAGGGTGAATCTTCTTCGGGAATGGTTTAGATGTCTTCTAACCGACCGTTGCGTCACGTGATACGCTTCGCAAAAGTTGTAATAGACTTACATTGAAAACAGTTCAATAAAAAGTCAATTTTCTTTTTTGAATTATAAATGTTCAACTCGAATTGTTTTCCGATGTAATTAAATCATGTTGACGTTTCGAATGTAACGTGTCGTGTCGTTGAAATAATTGTCATTGAAAAGAATGGAGAATACTTTGCGTAAACAAGTGCTATTCGTGAGCTCGAAGCTTTTAATCGTCGCAGTGATTGTTTCCCTGATTTTTGGTTCTGTCAACGTTACACCAGGTGAGATTGAAAATATTTTTTATAAATTTTTTAAATATCAATTGAGTAAAGATAAATCGAGGAAAATCTTATTTCTTTTAAATAAATAATAAATTAGCAGCTGTTCTTGATAATATAAAATATTTCTAATAAAGTCTCAACATTTATTAAAAATATTTTCACTTATTAAGATACACGTATAAGGATAAAAGAAAGATTTAAAAACATAATATGAAAATATATTATTAGTGATATATCGTGCAATCTTTAGCGACCCTCTTTTTCCCAATGTAGCAAACAGTTACGCTTATGAATGAAATAACCATACTTTCTGTGCAATTTGTTCCGACGACTGACACAACGACTTCTACTCGTTTGGATCACGATTCAGTTTCTGCTTGATGCGTCACGTTCAAATACATATTCAAATTTTCGCCATTAATTTAATAAAAGTAAAAAAATGGACCACATTTTCTTCTGAATGTGAATTTATGTTAATTTATTCTAATAAGTTGTATTAATTATAAAGGAAAGAATTAAATCTGAATAACATCTTATATCTACGTATTACAAAATTGTTAATAAAAATTACTGTGTGTGTTTTATCGCCGTGACATTAACAGAGTTAAAAAAAAAAAATTGAAAAAAATTACATTACATGAAAATCAAAAAAATGGAAAAGAAAAGTATACTTGTCGTGTCTCTTCAAGTGGTAATTGATTTAGTTTTATTTATTTTTTCAGCGAATTATGAATACTCCATGAGAGTGTACAACGTCGGGGTTCTCATGGCTTCTCACTTAAATAGCCCTTTCGATTTGGAAAGATGCGGCCCAGCCGTTGATTTAGCTTTGGCCGAAGTGAACGACTTCTTAAGCATCCACAATGTGAAATTGCGCAAAGTGCAAGGAAGGTAGGGTAAATGCAGAAAACCTCTTATTCCTTTCTCTAGCTTTTTCCATTTCTTAATATATATATGTGTGTATATCTTATACACCACCTATCAATTTTTACGTAAAATGAAAGAAAAATAAGAGAAGAGTAGAAAGAATAATTATTATTATATGTGTAATAAAGAATGTGTGTCCTAGATAAAACACCACACGTGATCCTGTGTAAACTGATTCACTTTTCGTCACGCGTTTCCACCACTTCCGTGTCATTACATTAATCCAATTGGGCAGACGTTTGCGCAAAAAAAAAAACAAGCCGTGATTGTGTGATCAACACTGTCTTGGTAAAACAAGAATAAATTAAGATAAAAATCAGAATGCACTGATTATCCCTTTGTCAAACATCAGATTCCAAAATTCTGGCCAAAATATATACATAAGATATCACGACATGAAAATGATATCAACTGACAAATCAGTCAAACACCAAATATCAAATCTTTACTACAGATCTAGAGCTAATGTAATAAGATGGCAACAAATCCCCCGGTCTCTCCCTTTTCAATCGAACAATATAGAATTAATCTAATCGAAACGAACGAATTAATCCACGTTACAATTGGTTAACGAAGGGAACGAAGAGTAAGGACCACTGAGCGTGATAATATCCCTAGGATTGGACAGCGGATCCAATTATTGGCTATTCAACGGTACGATTAAATCTATCATTATTTCCAAGTCGTTCCTTACGCTTGGAATGACACTGCACCTTTGCCAATCCCTCCCCTCGACAATTATCAATCATTCTAGTTACGAACGTGAATTACGAACGCGTTCCATGGATTCCCTGAGGACACCCTGTTTCGATCGTTCTTTCTCTCCCTTCAGACCGGTAATTCGATCGCGACCTGTTTGCACGGTGGAACACGATCATCCATCAACCCGTTTGCCCCTTGTTCCTTTTCCCAGTATTGTTTGATTTCTACGACCCATTGTCCCGCGCTTCCTTTTTCTTCCGAATTGATTCAGATGGAATCGTGTTGCGGAAAAAAACCGCGTATAAGGAAACACGTGAGCCTGTAGAGATTGCCAGTAAATAGTGGGTCACGTTAAAGCGGACCTACTTCCTTCACGTCATTTTTTTTCTTTTTTTTTTTTATACTTATGCGGTGTATATCAGGTACAAAGATTTATAATTATATATTGGGTCTATTCTCACAAGTAATGTCGCATTTTAATTTAATAAGATGGGAAAAAGTCATACAAAATAATGGACAATATATTGAATAAAATTTTCGTTACCTACAAAAAGACATTGTTATTTAATGCGACATTATATATATATGGGACAAATCAATATTATAAAACCATTAAGTATTAAGGAAGATTCTTAGGAAAGATTCAATGTTTTCAAAAGAAGAAACTGAGCAAATGTTTATTTTGTTTCATTAACATTAGAACTACCAAATTGGTCAAAGTGACCAATTTATTATTTCTGTTAGAAATATTTTTACATGTAAAACGGTATATCTTCAGGGGATATAAATGATTTTTCGTAAAGTGTATTGAATAAAAGCTTGTATACTCTATCTATGTAATATATATAATCTTTATTTTTTTTCTTTTTTCATCTGAATGTCTCTGATGAAAATTATATGTGGTAATTCTAATGTTAATAATCTTTCTTCATAAACACTAAACACTCTATGTGGCAATAACTAATGCAATTATGAATTTAAAAAGGTAAAACTATGCATTAATCAAATAATTAGCTATAGCTTCTCTATTAACTTATGCAGTCTTGTTTTATTAAAATTATTGATACATGTTATAATTGTATGATTCGCAGCTACCCGTCATGCAGTGGATTTGCAGCACCAGGTTTAGCTGCCAATATGCATTTCCAAGCAAACGTGATCGCGTTTGTTGGTCCAGCTTGTGCTTTTGCCCTGGAACCTGTGGCAAAACTCGCCGCCTATTGGAATACTCCTATAATCACTGGAATGGGTGACCAAGTACCGTTTCCTCAGTCATTAGAATTTCTTGAAAATGAACTTGAGAATTTTTAAATTACAGCGAATATATAAAACACATTTTGCATTTGCATTTAGACTTCAATTGCAAAGCAAATAAATTGTTAACCCTTTTGTGCGGGGTAAATAATTGTTATCATCAAATGTTATCATCAAATGATAAATCTCTTAAATTCTTCTATGTTAATCATTCTTCTAATGTGACATAATGCTCTCTAGATATTAGTAATCATTCACATAATTTTGGCAATCTTATCATGGCAATATCCAATTATACATTTTCAACAATTAAGCCGCCATCGGAAGAAGAGGAATTGTCCGTAACGTCGGGTATCCTTGGAAGAATCAATAAATGGAAAAATGAAAGCTCGGTAAGGAAATTGTAACTATATATTCCTTGTGCTCATTGGGTTAATTGATCGTGTTTGCTTAATTATCGCATGCAACGTGTTACGCGAGATGCTTCGCATGATACAAAATCCCTATTTACAACTTCATTAATACTCATAATTAGTCGCATGCTTGTTAACACGGCCAATATAAAGCTAAAAAAAAAAAAAAAAAAATCGAAGACATTATAAGTTTATCTTCAGTTGACTTCCCGATTTTAGTTTCATTCGATGCTTCAAAATTTTAATTAATTTTATAATTAGACTACAGTCGTTTATGTAAATTCATATTTTTACTAAATGGATCAAAGGAAATGGGATTACTAGCTATTAAACATTGCAACAAGTACTTTATCTTGAATATTTACTTTTACATATTATGCTGTGCGTTTCTATGCATTTTTTGCACAAGCAAATGAAAATCAACGTAGATAGTTGACTTTAAGGAACTTGTTTCTTTCCTATGAGCTAAAGAAAAGAAAGTTCTTTCGACTTAATTTATAAATAATAATTTGTTTAGAATTACTTGAAATTTGTCTCTCAGCCTTGAATTCTTTGTTTCAAGGGAATCTTCAAGGATAAAAGCAAATATCCAACACTCACGAGGATGTCCTATTGTCAGTGTCGACTTCGATTGGTATTCTCTAGTATTTTTAAAGAATTTGGATGGTCGCACGTAGCGTTGATCTTGGATAGATCCGATTTATTTTCGTGGACAGTTGGGAAAAATTTGGAATACGGCCTGAGGAAAGAAGGATTGTTGAAATTCGTAAGAGAAATCGATGGAAATTCCGAGGACGAGTCGTATCATTTTTACTTGCGTGATGCTAGTATGTATGCACGAGGTAAACGTCATATATGTATCTGAATTTTCCTTGAAATTAATATATCGATATATTTGTTTATTTCTAATTAACATATAATTCATTTTTTGACAGTATTGATTCTTAGTGTCCGAGGGACACTGGTTAGAAAATTTATGCTGGCTGCTCATGATTTAGAAATGACAAGAGGAGATTGGGCGTTCCTCGATGTTGAAATATTTCAAGTAAACTGAAAATTTTCCTTCCAAATGTGGTCACTTTTAAACACAGGCCAGTTGGCAGAGTAATGGCCAGTAAGAGATCTAATAGAGCTTTAAATTTTTATGAAAATTGTGGAAATCTTTCTGCATAATGCAAAAGAATGTGCTAAAGCTTTTTGTAAATAAATTCTTAAGAATGAAGATCAATTAAGATCGGTCAATACTCTGCTCGCCACCCTATGTATAATAAAATTAATCTCAAAGTGAAAATATACGTAAAAGATTTATGTAAATGAATTAAATAATATTAGAAAATTTAAAAAAATTATTCAATCTAAATTCAAATTTAAATTCAAAGTTGGAACGCTTTAATTTGGATTAAAACTTGGAAATTTAAATTTGATTTGCATTAACTGATGAAATACTTAATAAAATATTCTTCTGTATCCATATATATATGAAAAACAAATGCGTATCTTTTCTTTTTGATAAAAATTCAGGGTTCTTATTGGGGTGATCACGATTGGGAGGTTGGTGATGAAGATGACAGTATCGCTAGGAAAGCGTACGAAGCATTGCTCAGAGTGTCTCTTTTACAACCCACCAGTCCGAGATTTCAAGATTTTGCTGAAACTGTTCGCCAACGAGCTCAAACCGACTACAATTATTATTTTTCAGAAGGGGAAGAGGTAATTTTGTCTTTATTTAATCTATAAATGCTAAATAAAGTTAATTAAATTTATAAAGAATTTTTCAAGTAAAATTCACCCAATTCAAGCAGTATTGCATATCAAAACACATTGCTAACAATGAGAAAAGCAGCACCATTAAATAACAACGTTAAATAACATTAATTAAAAATTATTCCCAGGTAAATTTCTTCATCGGAGCTTTCTATGATGGCGTATACTTGCTGGGAATGGCATTGAATGAAACTCTGTCCGAGGGTGGAGATATCACAGACGGCATATCGATAACGAGGAGGATGTGGGACCGAGATTTCATTGGTATTACGGGGCACGTGAGGATCGATGACAATGGAGACCGCGACGCGGACTACAGTATCCTGGATTTAGATCCTATCACAGGAAGGTCAGCGTCAATTAAGCCAACCATTTCTCTCAGCCCGTTTGCTCGTGTTAATCAACCTCCATTCTACCAGTCAACTGAATACATTCGATCCAAATGCCATTGCGAAACCTTCGAATTCACTTTGAATTCCATGCAGAATTTTGATGAGGCATATGCACGTGCTGTACATTAGGTATTGTGTTGCAGATCCACTGCGAAAAAAATACTCAAATACTCGAAATTTGCAGATTCGAAGTAGTCGCACACTATTTAGGATTAAATCGAGAATATAGTCCTGTGACTGGAAAGAAAATTCATTGGCCTGGAGGAAGAGAAGGCCCTCCTGCCGATATTCCTGAATGTGGATTCCTGGGAAATGATCCTGCTTGCACATCCAGAACCGAGGCCTATACTTTTGTCGCATATACTAGCTTGGCTCTTGTTGTGTTTCTTCTTGTTGCTGTCACTGCAACCTGTGTGTTGTACAGGCTAGTACAGGCTTTTTTTGTTACTTGAATCATTACATAAGAAACACAATTTGGGACATATATACGATATTATTGAAAATGATATACAACTTTTTTTACACACTTCTATCAAAAGAGTCAAAATCTTTTACTAAAAACGGATAAAAATTTGTAACTTTCTGTATAAAAAAAAGTTACTTTCTGTAACTTCCTCGTGAGAATTGATAATAATACATTTGCGGTAAGAAATTTTCATTTAAAAAATTCTAAATTTCAATTCTAACAATATATGTAAAAAATTATATATGTAGAACTATAGATATGAAAACGGAAAGTTTAAATTTAATTCAGCGGCTTATATATTATAATATTATTATATTTTAGACATCTAAGAGTGTCGGCTGACCTGAACAACATGTCCTGGAAAATCAGACCAGAGGAATTACTTCTGGAAATAGGGAAACCTTTCTCTTCAAAGATCAATTTACACCAAGCGATAGCCGAGGTGAGTAAAACTGAGTTGAATGAGGAAGACATAATAAAATCAGTCTTGCCATTACAGAATTTTGGATTGGAGCAGCATATTCGTCGTGAGTCACAATTCAGCTGCGAATCCTTACCTACAACTACAGTATTCACCACCGTTGGAATCTATAAGGGGGAAAGAGTGGCTATTAAGAAAATTACTAAAAAGAAGGTAGTTGATGTCACCAAGAAATTATTGTGGGAGATTAAACAAGTTCGTGATGTTACTTCGGAAAATACTGTCAGGTATAATAATAATAGAATTGTGTAAATGTAATATTAAACGACAGATTTTGCCACAAACATTGAAAACAAATTGTTATTTAATACGTGAAATATTAAAAATAAATTTCAGGTTTATCGGTGCATGCTTCTGTTCTCCATCACCAACGGTGTTGATCTTGACAGAGTATTGCCCCCGAGGTTCCTTGAAAGATGTCCTAGAGAACGACGCTATTAAATTAGATTGGAATTTCCGAATGTCTTTAATCCACGACATCGTCAAGGTAGAGCAGGTGCAAAAGTCGTATCACATGTATCGCATTTTATCCAATTGCGCAGGATTTAAATTCTAAACAATACATCTTTTTAACTCCAATTTATTTTCAAAAATAAATTCTAAGAACACTTCTTTTACCAAACTTTTAACATCTTTACAGTTATATTTATATTGCTGATATTTATGCATTTATAAGAAATTCAAATGTATAAAAATATGCAGAATTGGGACATACAAAATATTCAAAACAAAGTAGTTATCATAATATTTAAATGTAGGTTCAATTTCTTTGATTGAATTTGATTTATCACTGACTCATGAATATTGAAATGAAACTCTTCCAGCATTATTAGAATTTTATAAATACAAAAAATGATTTATTTACAGGGAATGTCTTATCTTCACGCCAGCGAGGTTTCAGCGCATGGAAAGCTTCGGTCTTGCAATTGCTTGATCGATGGCCGTTTCGTCTTGAAAATTTCAGACTTTGGCCTCAAAACGCTCACAACCCCGTCTGATTTGATAATGGACGATAATTATTATACCAGTACGTAAGATCAATTACGTGAGAAGCAAATAAAAAAGAATCGTTGACTGTTACGAATTATCGTTTGGACAGAATTACTTTGGATCGCCCCGGAACTTTTACCGTTAACTGTGACACCTGGCAGTGCAGCGACTCAAAAAGGGGATGTTTACAGTTTCGCGATCATTCTAGAAGAAATTGTGATCCGTGGTGGCCCGTATGAATCTGTGAAATTGTTTATGACTTCCCAAGAGGTATGATAGAAGTTCTGGTATGATTTTCAAAACGTGGCAACTGATCAAAACAAAAATAATTAACGAAGTAAATGAAAATTTTATAATATTACAAAGATCGTCGGCCGCGTCGCGGCTTCGGAGACGCCACCATTCAGACCGGAAGTAACACCAAAAGACTGCCCGCCGGATATCCTATCCCTCATGGAGAAATGCTGGAACGAAATCCCAGAGGAACGACCAACATTTCACGCAATTCGCGAAACTATACGTAGCATTATGAAGTATGTTTTCCAATCCAGTTTCTTACCAAAAATACACATGTCTTTTCGAACGAGGTTTGTCTTTCAAAGTTGTGACGAACATTATGTTTAAGAGAGAAAGTAATAATTTTCCAGGGGTTACTGTGAGAATTTAATGGACGATTTATTGAGACGTATGGAACAATATGCGAATAATTTAGAAGCCCTCGTGGAGGAGAAAACGGAACAATTAAGCTTAGAGAAACGGCGTAGCGAAGAACTTTTGTATCAAGTGCTTCCAAGGTAACAATGTATTTAATGAAAGGTGTTCAATACAATGCGCTATTTTCTTACTTCGAGAGTTTTTATACTCATTTTCAATTACAATGTCATAGACAAGTGGCGTGTCAGCTAATGGCTGGAGAGCTAGTACAACCAGAGCAATTCGAGTGCGTGACAATTTATTTCAGTGACATAGTTGGCTTCACAGCTCTCTGCGCGCAAAGCACACCAATGGAAGTGGTGGATTTTTTAAACGACCTTTACAGCACTTTCGATCGCATCATCGAATTCTACGATGTCTACAAGGTACTTCAATGTCACTCTCATTCAAACGATAATCGCTAGATTGCAAACTATATGTATACATTTGTGAAAAATTGAAAACAAGATGTATAGAGTACATATAGAGTATAAAAATCTGCAAAATATTCAAAGTAAAAATGCTTAATGTACAACACAGGCGAACAAATCTCTATTTAAATTCTATTTTTTTTTCTTTTTTTTTGCTTATATTTATAAAAATATTTTTTGATAACATTCTCTCATTATTAATATTTTATATACTAAGGTGGAAACAATAGGAGATGCATACATGGTGGTGTCTGGTCTGCCAGAAAGAAACGGCGACGAACACGCGAGGGAAATTGCCTTAATGGCTCTAGCGGTTCTTGATTCTGTACGTTCCTTCACCATAATGCATAAACAAAATGCGCAACTCAGTGTCAGAATTGGCGTACACAGTGGACCAGTTTGCGCAGGTGTAGTTGGCCAAAAGATGCCACATTATTGTCTTTTTGGTGATACAGTAAACACTGCATCGAGGATGGAGTCCTCGGGACTACGTATGTTATTTGAAATCAATTCCAAAAAAATATCATTATTATAAGATATTAGTCTCACTCTTATCTGCTTTCTAAATCTAGCATTACGCATACACATTTCTGAAGCAACGAAATGTATATTGGATAAGTTTGGAACGTTTGACTTGGAGCTCAGAGGCGAAGTTGAGTTAAAGGGGAAGGGACGAGTTATTTCTTACTGGTTGAAGGGTTGTTCCGAACCAGATCCAAGGCCACCGACACCAAAGTACCGCAAGCATAGCGTCAGTACACCGGAAAATAATTTAAACCCCCTAATCTTCCCGCCTAACAATACGAATGGTCCGAAAGCCAACAACACTTTTATTAATTTGTCAGAATTACAACAGACCGTATAATTTTCGTAAATTTGAACGTAAAAAAACGTAAGTAAAAAGAGTCATTGTCATTAATGGTAGATGTTCTCGCGATT